GAAGACGTTCCACCAGTGGACCCGGAAAGCAGGCCACACCTACAGAAGAGGTTCCAAAATGTTTTGAAACCCACCACTGGGAAGAAGGAAAGAAGGAAGTAGGTAAATAGAGGAGGGAGAAAAGAAAGGGAGAAGAAGGTGGTGTCAGGGGATGGTAAACAAAGCAACCCAAATGGAATATTATAATACTATAAATGGAATGTTGAATGTATAAGAACCATGAATGTAAAAAAAGAATAATAACTACCTGAATGTATACCTATAATTGTATATAGAGAACAAAAAATAATAATAATAAAAAAAAGAATCTGAGGCTAGCAATTCCTCAAAGTTCAAATTTATTAAATAAGCCATATTGGCACATCTGGAAAACTCGAATCTGAAAGCTTCCAGATTTTCCCCACCCAGTTGAAAGTTCAAGACTCTGCCCCAGCACCAGTAGTGGGTTTCAATTTTTTTTAGAATATCTTCTGTAGGTGTGGCCTGCTTTGTGGGAGTGGCTTGCTGATCAAGTGACCAGGGGGGGGCGGCCAATTTTTAAAATGTGGTGAAACTCATTTAACAACGCTCTTACTTAGCAACTAAAATGTTGGCTCAGAAACTCTGGCATTTGCAGCACGCAAGTCTTAAAGCTGTCAAGTGACAAGACCCTTGCACCCCTAACCCTTTAGAGAAAAAACACCAGGGGTGTTCAAACTTGACAGCTTTAAGACTTGTGGACTTCAACTCCCAGAATTCTTCCTCTCACTCTTCATCTTGATGATGTGTGGGGGGAGGGAGCTGGAACCACTTCTAAACGGCACTGTGGATTTGTGGAACCTCTTCTATAGAGGTTAGGACTGGCAGGAACCCATCACTGCCCAGCACCCACATGTCCACCACATGGCCCAACCAGCCACTGTCACAAAGGAAGATTCCTGTCATCCATGTCAGTTCAGGTGCAGGGACAAAACAACCTTGAACCTGAGAAGGAATGTTATTTTGGCTACATATCTCCTATGCTCCATACAATCCTTCCTCCCAGTTTCTCCCAGGAGAATACGTTTGAATTTGTGGCAAGCCTGAGGCTTAATTCAAAGATGGCTTCCAAGCCTGACATGTAGTTGATTTTCCACTTGGACTCTCTAATGAAATCTAATAAAATATCTTGCAGTACCTGGAACACGAATAGGTTTGTTAGAGTATATGTACCACAAAAATGATCCTATCATAAATGGTCAGTTTTTAGATACCCAAGAGCCTTATTTTTTTCTGCAACATTATGATGATAAAAAGTATATTGTGAGGTTTTGCCTAGCATTTTATAGCATTTACACTTGTTCTGTAGTACCTACTGTTATTCAGTTACAAGGTGAATATAAAATGCTGCTTTTGACTTTTAAAGTCTTATGTTTCAAATGTTCTCTTTAAAAATTCCATTTTGTGTAAAAAACCCCATTAACTTTAAGACCTCTGAGTGAACCTCTCTTTCGTGCTTCTTTCTCTAGAGATATAAGACATAATTATGCGTTAAAGGTATTTTTAGAGTTCTGCTATGTGTCCTCCCGAGAAATCAATATTTTTTCTTACTATCCTTCTTGTTTTCCTTGCAAAAGATTGCACGAAATGATTCTTGTGGTCCCCGCCATCTCTACAGTTCTATGAAGATCGTGCAGTCACACATAAGGGAAATCACAGAACGGTTTTCTTAAGGCTTTATAAGTTTTAAATAATGCCATTTTAATTAGATAGCGGTAACTGATTATCGCACAGTGCCTCAATAGAAGTCATTATCCTCAGTAATATGGGCACTAAGTGAGCAGGATTTAAAAAATGAAAGAACTGGGAATTGCGCAGGCTTGTAGATTTAAGACTGTCGCCATCAATTAAACTCAGATTTCATCATCTGAGGTTCACTGGTATTATAAATTAATATCGCAATAGAGCAGGAGGTTGCAACCAAAGCTTGGCTTGTGGAGATAGAACTGTGCAACATTTTGTTGCAGTGATATAGGGCAGGGGTCTCCAACCTTGGTAACTTTAAGGCCTGTGGACTTCAACTCCCAGAATTCCTCAGCCAGCTTGGAAGTTGGAGACCCCATTGCTAATGGTTTCTTCCAAGGGGCTTCTGGTAACAATGACAGCAGAAAAAAGCTTCACCTATTTGCTTCCCCTGTGTAATTTATTACATTAAATAAAGCACTATAACTAGTTAGCTTGCTGTAAAAGTGATGGCTTTTGTCTAATTTCTCATAATTGCGAACTCAGTTTGTTCATTCGGAGAATCTTACCTGATACCATGAATAGGCTCTGTCGGATGGATCAATGAGGATGGTGATGATTTTTGCTTTGGGTATCAAGGACGCTGCACGTTTAGGAGCATCTTCAGAATGGAAATAGCTGGCACTTTTCTCAAACAAAACATCAGCAGTGATATTTAAAGGGGTAGGGAAAAAATTCATATACCTGCAAGTAAAATTACAAAATCAGCAACGATGAGGGTTAAAAAACAACAACAACACCTTGCTAAAATAAACTTTTGAAAACAAAGATAAGGGATATAATGTATCTAAGTGAAAGTAAATGTAATTAATTGTATGATCTCAGGTGCTATTATTTTGAGGAGGAGAAGTCCTTATTAAAGCAGAGTACATTGTACAATTTCTCTCTCCTTATTCTAAATTAAAAGGCTCCAGACTAGTCACATTTTACGTATTGGACTAGTTCTAGGCCCATGATGGCGAACCTACGGCACAAGTGCCACAGGTGGCATGCAGAGCCCTCTCTGCGGACACGCGAGCCATCGTCCCACCTCCACTGCATATGCGCGCACACCTCCTGCCGGTCAGCTCATTTTCAGGTCTCTGCTGTGCATGCATGGGGTGCATGTGGAAGACATGTGCGCATGTGTGGGAGTGGGTTGCATGTGTGGGCGTTGCGTGCGCATGTGCAGGGGGGATGGGGTGTGCACAGAGGGTCATGTGCACATGTTCGGAGGGCACATGCACATGAAGGGGGTGAGGGAGCATGTTGGGGGTTGTGCGCACATGCACAAGGGGAGGTGGAAGTGTGTGGGGGGGTCAAACATACATGTGTGGGGGGCTGGGCACAGGTGGAGGGATTGTGTGCTTTCAGCACATGGGAACTAAAAGGTTAGCCATCACTGTTCAAGGTCTTTGAGCATGCTGATTGCCATTTTCTGTATATTATTTACAGTATGTTATGACATTTTAAATAGAACCATGGAATTGTGCAAGTATCTTTCTTCAAAGTTCCATACCAGTTCTATTATAAATACTGAAATATTTGCATTATTTTAGATTCTCATTTTCAGTTTTCTTGCCCAGCTGTTCTTTGAAGCTGTTTCTGTCTTTCTAATACATTTATTGATGCATTTAATGGATCAATTGGGATTTACTTCTCAGTACCCATATATACTGCAAATAGCATCTTTAGAATAGCCGTTTTCATTATCCTCTTTAACATCTTGTCATGTAAATTTTTTAAAAAAATCAACACTGTAATAATGTTAGTTGCCTGGTCCTGCTATTTTCCTCAGGTACATGATAATATTTTTGAAATGGGGCAGAATATCAGACAAGTATATTCTAAATATAGAAGCTTTATGATAATTCTGATTAATTTTACTTTCTTTTCTTAAATATTTTCAACCTACAACTTCTTTTCTTTATTACTGTTATTTATGTGGCATTTAGAACACCTAATTAAAAACAAATAGAAAGAGATGAATAACAAACAAAACAAGTTATCCAGCTCTTTTCCAAAGGGCATTTGATTGTAAAGAATACAAACATTGGTATTATAATGACAAATAAAAAAAATCATACAGATAAAAAATCTCATCAGTGTGACCTAATTGGTAACTGATACTGTATATATACTGTGCCCAGAAAATTCATCTGAAAATTGTTAAGGTATCACAAATATTTCTATAAGGAGTCCTCTGAGTTTCAGAATATGCTAAAAACTTTTGTTTTATTATTCTTACCAATCAATTCCCTTATGATAGTTGTTTCCATTAAAGAACTGAACTTCCTCAAAGGTTTTTGGGTTAGGAAGATTACTAATTATGGAGGGATGCATAAGGAGAAATAAATAGAGTGCTGTTGTTCCTACAAGGGAAAGAAAGTAGTCAGGATTATATAATAATGCAGAAAAAAAAACAGTATTTAATTTAAAGAAGTAGTAAAAAATAAAGAACGGTTTTCAAGAAATATATTCCAAAGGAAAGAAAAAAATCCCACTTATGGAATGATATATTAATTTTATACAGGTTTATTGTCAAAGAATTAAGGTAAATTGTTTTTTTTTCTTAAAATTTCCTATATAGTTATACCACAACTTTGCTAATATTAGGAATTTATATTCATTACATTGTACTAGCAATGTTTTACATTCTTCATTATATTATTTTTACTATAATAGGAAAACCATATTATTAGCAAAACAATAGTAGTTTGGAAGTCCTAAAAAGTGCCTAAATTGTTTCTCATAGCTTTTCCAATTCAGGAGACTTACAAAATAGCTACGTACATCCAGTACAAAATTGTTTCACTATTTTGTTCCTGAGGTTTTTTTTTGTCTTTTTACTGTATAATTTTCTTACCTGTTTTCTGGGGTCCAATCACAAGAAATTTTGGTAGGTGGCCGCAGGTTTTGTCTCTAGACCAGATATCACGATGGCGTCTGTCATCACATGGATTCTGAAAATAATAATGAAAAAACCAGATTAGTTTGAAGTAATGTTCAAATATTTAATATTCTGTCCAGCTGGAAAGTCCTTTGGAGCAAATGGTTGCTTTTTTTGGAATAAAAATCAGATACTCTATTTCGGAGATACATGAATTCCTGATTTGAATTCTAAACATGCATATTTATACCCATAGTTTTAAAAAAACATTTCTCTCTATTATCATACTGGGGTGGTGGTGGTGGTGGTTTATACTTGAAATCTCTTTCCCAGCATAAATACGATGCCACTATCATTTGCTTCCTTTCATTTTCATTTCAACCTGCCTTATTCACTTCCTTTCTTCAGTCTGGTACGCCACCCAATCATTGTTTTATAAAAACAAGTGTCTTGAGACATAAAACAATCTAGTATTGTGTATCCTACTAATCCATCATAGTATATTTTGACTGACATGGAAATACTTGAGAGAATGTATCAGGTAACATAATCATTGCACTACAAAATGTAGCAATTTTATGTAAGATAAAGAGAGTGTTCATCCCAGCAGTGCTATTGCTTGCAAGTCTTGTTTTGCTTTGCTTTTTTAAATATTAAATAATACAGAATAATTTAAAATAATACTGAACAATGATAAAATATAGAAATTTGAAACTATTGTTATATATTACCTTTAAAAAACATTTAGTATATATTTATGTACCATTTATTCTAATTGGATCAAGGTGGGATACTTTTCTCTTTTTAATAGAGATATTACAAATAGACTTATTTCTATATTTCAAGATGTTTTATAAAGAATATCATTTATCTTTGCTTGTTTATATTTGACATTTGAAACACTGTCATGATTTATTAGACATAAGGAGAGTATATTAAATATAACAGTGGTAGGAGTTGAACTCAAAACTTATATGCCAATGATATATTACATAATTTACAAATATGCATTTTATATACTACACTTTATTCATAATGAATTCATAGTTTCCTTATTAATCACATTATTTGATTATTTGGAGAAAGCTTCATATGTATTCACTAGACTCTTAATATAGCATTGGGAATTTGTACTTGAAATTGTAATTTTTGTTTGAACTTTTAAATAGCTGTATATTTTCTTTTTAAAAAGTAATATAGTTATCTCATGGAAACTACCTTTAAGTACACATTAAAATACTAGGCATTAGAAGGACAGGTCTGGTGATCCATCCTTAGAGCACCGGATGAGTCAACCCATCATATTTGTATCTATGCATGCATACTCCATTACAATATTCTTCCTTTTGATACAAAGGAGTGAAGTTCCCCCTTTATTGTCAAATGACTTCTAGACTATTTCTTATTCTTTATAAAATACTAGCTGATAACTTGGCGCTGCCTGGGTATTTATTTATAGGGGGAAAATGTCTGGACCAAAAGTAATTTCTAATGTTGGATTTTTTACCCCTTAACAGAGGGAGCCCCCTTGTGGAATACTGTGAAGCATTTACCATGGCAACTCCACTGCACTGCACAGTAGAAGCCATTTTAAGGCACAACAGCCTGTATCTTAACAGAACACACATCCTGGGAGTTTTTATGGGTGTCTTACTCCCACAATATTTTTCTCCAGAGGATAAGTCATCTGTGTAGCAAGTTTGGTTGGAATTGTTCAAGGTGTTCCAGAATTATGCTGGAAAATACACACACACACACACACACACACACACATGAAAAAGTATCATGCAGTGCTTAAAGCCTAATTATTCTATAATATAATTGTCTACTTTATCTGATTGTTAATTCACCTCACAGCCAATTCATCAAAACAAGTTGCAGTAAAGCAATAAAGCAGGAAAATAAAAGCTGTTTTCCTTTCTCATCTTGACTTCTTTTTCTTCTCATTAATATCAACCAAGCTGAGAGTCGATACTTTAGAGCCTGACTCCAGGTAGGTGTTAATGAAGGTAATGTAACCACCAGCTCCTTTTCTGCCAAGCAATGTGCTCTTAGAAAAACATGCTGCTTTGGGGAAGGAAATGAAATGAATCTATCAAGCTATGCAAAACAGATTAAAATGCCTTTGTTGTTAATTTTCTCTTTTCTCCCAAGCAGTCTTCACTGCAACGATATTGCAAATAAATATTGGGATCATGCTGTCCAATCAAATTGATGTTACCTGCCAGAGTGGGTCCTTCTGTTCTGGAAAGAGCTCAAAATATTTGTGAGCCAACTGAATTGGACGTAGTGTCTGCAGCTTCAGGTTGGTCCAGCTTTGAACAAAACTGGCCAGATTGACAAATGTGTATAACCCCAGTCGGTCATTCCCGTAGTTAGACAAGTGGGTCATGAAGATACTGATCTGAAAACAAACACAGAAGTGTTAGTGACTTGTAGTAGCAGGAGAATTTCACTGGGTGGCATTAGGTATATTTCAGATCTGGATATGTTGCCTGGTTTTAAAGGGCTGTACTACTTTAATTGCTGTTCAAGGATGTGCTGGGTATATTTTAATAGATGCATTCTGTTAAATTTAAACAACAAAAGAAAATAGCAATTAATAAGCCATCTTTGTACTGTATGTTGGCACATGTGGCTTGGATCGCCAAGAAATCTTCTTTTACTCCATCCTTGAAAATCACTTGCATTTTCTAAATTTCTTAGTCTGAATTTTTAAACTGCTCCCATATTTGAATGTTACAGTCAATCCATATAGTAGCTAAAATGTAATTCTGATGCATTCACTTTCTATACTTTTGATGGTTATGATACCTGTGAGCTCACAGAATTTGTTTACACTTCTAAAAAGTATAATCTGACTTCAGAAATATTTCCCTTTGCTCACATCTATTTTTAAAATTAAGACCTAAAGTAAAGGTCTGTTTATTTTTTTTCAAAGTTCCTTTACTCTTTCAAAACTCATAGTTACTTTAAAAACTCATAATAACTGATAAGGAATCTTCCAGACTTCATTGTATGATACACAAACTTTTGTTTGAAGAAAATATGTTTTCTTCTATCGTTTCTACAACACTACTTTATTCTGTTTTGAATGATTATGGCTTTCCAGAAAGTGATAGATTAAAATCTGAAGAGTATAATGGAAAATAACTTTCATAAAGGCAAAGTCACTACTTTATTAAGAGATGTCCCTTATCTAATCTAAGGATTTATTGATTAATCAAAATTAGGATATTTATAGGAAATAAACACATTGCTCTTAAACAGAGCCGGATCTAATGATAAGACTCTGTTTTGTTTCATTCACTTCTATTTAAACAAAAAATATGCCTTTTTAATGAAAATATAAATTAGCGTCACTGTTGCAATTACAGGAAAATTGCAATTTAAAAAAAATTGTAACAGTTTGGAAAGTCTTAGACAGAAGGAAAGTTATTATGGGAACCATTTCTTCTCAAATATAGGAAACATAAGGAATTCTCTGATGCAACATTTTACCTCAATGTACTAATCAAGTTTCAACATGGAAAATAAAGGAACACAGCTGTATTTCTCCATGTATTCAACATTTATGAGGAATAATAATTCTGTTTGTCTCAGACTAGTGGTGGGATCCAAATTTTTACTACCGGTTCTGTGAGCGTGGCTTGGTGGGCGTGCTGTGGCAGGGGAAGGATACTGTAAAATCTCCATTCCCTCCCCACTCCAGGGGAAGGTTACTGAAAAATCCCCATTCCCTCCCAATCAGCTGAAACTCGGGAGGCAGAGAATAGATGAGGGTGGGACATTTATCGGTTCTCCAAACTACTCAAAATTTCTGCTACTGGTCTTCAGAACTGGTCAGAACCTGCTAAATACCACCTCTGTCTTAAATCCAATCTGTCCACAGCAGCCATCTTTACCAGTTTACAAATGACTTAGATATTCTGTTGATGATTAGGAAAAAAAATCACCATTATTTATATGAATGGGCACCCCTTTCCTTTAAAAAACAGATAGCTGAAGTTTAGGAAATTTCTCAGAATGGGGAAGTATGGATTTCATGGAGTTATCTTTGTCTATCGCATGGATTGTGCTTGAATTATCCTTGGTAGCATTGCATTCGGAGCATAACTAAGTACTATATAAGAACATTTTCTCAATTGATACGGATCTTAGACAGCATGATTACCTATGGATGATTTTAGGAAACCTATAAATAAGATAACTACCATACTATTGCTTAGCAAGAAGTGATTCTGAATATGAAGACATACAAGTGCATTTTAAAGGAAGCAGTATGTGTAACTGCCTGTCCTTTTTAGATATTTAAATTTATAACCTGCTTTTCCTTCAGAGATGCAACTGTATTAATCCTCCCCTCTTTCCTTTACAACTGAATAATATTTTGGCAATTCAAGCATTTAGCATTAATGATTCAAATGGAAACATTCACCCTCTGCTGTGGTTTCAATATTATAAACAGCCTTCCCCTATAGTGCACATCCAGGAGATATGAAAAAAGAGTCTCATTATCTATACACGTATTGCTCTCCAAAGCATGGTTTTTAAGTTCTGCAAGAAACGCAACTTCAAGTGCTTAGGAGAGGGATGGTGAACCTTTTCAACACTAAGTGCCCAAACTGGAACATGTGTGCATGTGTGTGCCAATGGTGGGTTTCAATTTATTTTACTACCATTTTGCTTGTGTGTGCATGTGTGCCAGGGCAACACTTCTGCACATGCACAGTAGCATTCGGGCGGGTGCACCACTACCAATTCGCCCGATCTGGGCCGAACCGGCAGAAACCCACCTCTGGTGTGTGGATACATTGGAGCCCTGAAAACCTGAAGGCCAGCTGGCCTGAGCACATCCACGCCCCAACTAGCTGGTCTTCTGGTTTCTGGCACACACATGTGCAATGGCCAGTTGGTCTTTGCATGTGCCGGAGCACTGGAAACCCAAAGACCAGCTGGCCAGCATGCACATGCCTATTTTTTGGGTGGTTTTGGCCATTTTTTGGGCTGTTTTCAAGGCATTTTTGGGGCAATTTTCAGGCTATTTTTGGAAAACGGTCTGTTTTTCAGGCCATTTTCTGGTGCTTGGGTGCCCTTGAAGACCAGCTGGCTGGCACACCTGTGCACACTGGAAACAAGAAGAGCAGCTGGCAATGGCACACATGCCCACAGAGAGGGCTCTGCATACTACCTCTTGCACATGTGTGTCATAGGTTCACCATCATGGGCTTAGGAATTTTGGGGCAATGGGAAACAGTTTTTCAGCAGAAATCTAGGTGTTAGGTTATTGTATGTAATTGTGGAGTGATTTGAACAAAATAATAGACCACATCACTCATGTGTTCCTTTTCAAGTGGGTGGTGATATTCATTCATACATTTTCCTAGTCTTACCTGTGTTAGCAAGAAGACGGACACAGGGCTTTTATAACATTTCTATGTTCTGCGTTTTTGGTTATATGTTGTTTGAGTGTGCAGTGGCTCACTCACTGACATAACATATGAAGGCACAACCAAGGACATCTCTTGAGCTCCTTAAGGCAAATATATTTTTCTGCTGTGATCAAGTAGTACCTGCACAGAATAATGTGTGTGCATGGGAAAAGACATTGCTGGTTTCAGGAGTCTGTTTTAATGTCTTCTCATATTGAAGTCCATTTTTGCTTTTGAATTGAATTGAATTGTGTGGCCCTAATGTAGAGCTTTGTTTTAAGTGTTTCTTGGAGCTAAATTGAAGTCCTGCAAACCTGCCATGATTTAGGGTTGCATTTACACCATCCCTTCTGATTTCTACAATAACCACAAGATAGAAGCCATGTGCTTTCCATTTTCACTCCCACTCTTCCTGCCAATATGCCACTTCTTTAACTGTGGGTTTAATAGTGTTTAAAAACATGTCCATCAGTTTGCTAAATTATTTATAAAGCTTTTAGTACATCCATATGGTGAAGATGGAAGGAACAGGAGGAATTTCCCTCATGACCTATCCTTAGTTCTATTAGTGCTGAATGTACTTTATTTCATAAAAGGTCATTCAGGCTGTTTACATCTTGTTTCTTTCACCCTCTTATGAGGAATATTTAATGTGTTTGTAGTCTTTTTTTTAAAAAAAATCCGTTTGCTGAAACATTAAAACTTGTGTAAATTTACTTGAACTAATAGCAGTATCATGACTATTCATAAAATCACCTTAGCGTCATATTTGTTCTAGTTCCCTATAAATAAACTCAACAGAAGAAAATGATAATTCTAAAATGTACTTTAGAATTTTTCAAGGACATACAGTAGCTAGTAGATAATAATTTAAATATTTTATTTATTCATTAACTCACATATTTATGCTTTAAAAAAACAAAACTCAAAGCATGCATATAACTTTTATCTTTCTGCCGATCGCTCACAACGTTTAGTTAGTCATATTTCAATACAATTTCAGAATAGGTTGTCATGACATTTTTTTACAGAACTCTAAAAGACATAAAACAATTATAACTGCAATATTTACAATATTTACATGAGCCGTTGTGATGCATTGCTTAGAATGCTAATTCTACCGACTGCCAGAAGTTTGATTGTCACCTGCTAGAAGTTGACCCAGACTTCCATCCTTTCGGGTCAGTAAAATGAGGACCCAGATTTTTGGGGACAATATGTTGATTCTCTAAATCACTTAGGGCTGTAAAGCACTGTGAAGTAGTATATAAGTCTAAGCACTATTGCTATTGCTATTTCTTGTTAGTTTTCTCTTTCTTCTTCAAACGCGCTTCCTTGATTTAAGGATAATACTTCCTGCTGAGTGTTATCTGAACTGTCTCTATGTCTCCATTATACATTCTAATTTATTTGGCTTCAGGACAAGACAGTGCAGACAATTAGAGTTTAGTATTTGGATGGTGGCTCCTTCCTGCCAAGTTTTTAAGGAGAATTTCTGGCCATCAGACTTAACAAAGGTAGTAGAAGAAACCAGTAATTAAATACTGCTGATTCTATCCATAGTTCAACTAGAAACTCATTTTTGTCTTAGAGTTACTGGAGCTCCTGTTACAATATAAATGCAATGTTTGATATAGATACCTAATATTAATTTATTCAAAAGAACTGTAAAGGTAAAGGTTCCCCTTGTACATATGTGCTAGTCGTTCCTGACTCTAGGGGGAAAGCTCATCTCCATTTCAAAGCTGAAGAGCCAGTGCTGTCCGAAGACGTCTCCGTGGTCATGTGCCCAGCATGGCTAAGTGCCACAGGTGCACGGAACACTGTTTACCTTCCCAC